ATCTTGGTGCGGTGGTGCGTGCCTGTAATTCCAGCTGCTCCGGAGGCTGAGGCAGGAGAATGGCTTGAACCTGGGAGGCGGAGATTGCAAGATTGTGCCACTGCGCTCCATCCTGGGCGACATAGTGAGATTTCGTCTCAAAAAAAGGAAGAAAGCTGGAAAACAGAGAGGCAGGGGAACCCGGCCCTCCCACTGCCCCACTCCCGGTCCCCTGTGCTCCTGCTGCTTCTCCCTGCTGCCGCGGTGCTGGGTGCATGCACCCCCTTGGATGCTCGCCCACCAGTGCTCCCAGGGAAAGCTGTGCTTTCTCCAGCATATTCCGGCAGCACCGCCTCTTCGTGAAGTTGTGCAAAGTGGCAAATGATAGATATTGTGAAAAACTCAATGCACACTACCATTGAGTGACAGCCTCCCCGCTGCAGACGTCTTGGTCTATCTGCTCCTCTCCTTTTTTTTTTTTTTCTTTTCAGAGGCGGGGGTCAGTGTCTTGCTCTGTGGTGCAATCTGGGCTCACTACAGCTTTGACCTCCTGGGCTCAGGCAGTCCTCCCCACCACTTCGGCCTCCGGAGCAGCTGGGACCACAGGCACACGCTGCTGCTCCCAGCCCCCTATGTTTTTACAAGTGGGTGTGTGTCTGCCCCTGCTGCTTCCCTGGACTGTGTTCTGGGGCAGCCTCACGTCACGGCTGCTGAGGTTTTGTTGTCCGGTGCACCCAGCTCTGTAGGGAGTGTGGGCCGTTTTGTGAATGTGAGTAAAGACATTTGTATATCAGACCGCAGCGGTGGAGTTGCTGATCCAGCTTGATGAACATCTGACACTTGACAGGGGTTGCCAGGCTGCCTACTGCAGACACCGCTGGGAGCAGAACCCAAGTCGGCCTCCACCTGCAGCCGGTACCTGTGGAGGATACGGACGAGGTGTCTGCGATGCGGACCCAGCCAGCGGTGCCTGCCTCGTGGAATGTGCGGCTCTTCGTCAGCAAGGCTGCATTCAGCCTTCATTGCTGTGAGCTGTCTGTATGTGCCTTTTCCTGTTTTTCTTTTCGGCTGTTTATTGGTTTGAGAAAGCTGTGTAGGAAGGAAGCAATCTCTTTTGTTAACTGCAGACATCTGCCCCTGGTTGGTAGTTCTTTTGAATTTGTTCATGTTATTTTTTCCTCTGCGGAGGTTTAAAGTTTCTCTGTAGCAAATTCTGTGTTTTCGGTGTGTTTTGTGGCCCCTTTGTGTTCTCTGCAGTGCTTTTGTAGTGCCTTTTTAATGTATTTAGTCCATCAGGACTTTATTTTTGTGTATAGAGTGAGACGGATGATTCCCACTTCATTTTTCCCCAAACGGCCTGTCCCGCAGTGCATTTCAGCTTGCATTCACCCAGAAGGCGTGGTGAGGAGAACCTCAGCACCGTGAGATGCTGCTGGCACGTGCTGCTTCATCTCGTGACCTGGGTGGTGGTGGCAGCATCTGAGCGGCTCTGTAGGCCACAGCATCTCCCGGCACCCGAGCCCGAGATGAAGCAGCACGTGCCAGCAGCATTGCGTCTTGTGTTCTGTGCCTGAGCCTCATGCAGATCTTTGTAGGGTGAGAACCATGGCTTGTTGATGTCGTGCACGGAAAAGCCAGTCTCATGCTGATTTTCCTTAGGGTCCGTCAGAACACGTGCCCCGTGAACCGCGTCACCCTACAGCCCAACTCTGGTGAGCGTGGTTCTGTGTCTGCTGACCTGGTGAGGGCTGGGAACCAGGTGAGCTGCCTGCAGCACAGGCTTGCTGTGTGGCTGCCACATGTGGCGTCCTCCCCTGTGCCTGGTTTACTGCGTCTGTTCCCGGGACCCCTTTTTCAGATGAGAGAGCGCAGGCAGCACCATGGCAGCTGAGAAGCCGTGGTTCTGGCGGGGCAGCTGCCTTGCCCGGAGTCCCCAGAATTGCACTTCCAGAGCACGTGTCCTGGCTCCTGCATGGCAGCACCTCACCTTCCCTTTTCTTGTCATGGTTTTTAGGCAGCCTGTGCCTGAGTGTGTGCCCATCCCTCTCTCTGTGCGGAGCCATTCAGCTCATGCTGCAGGTTTCTGCTGGGCTGGTCGGCGCTCGGAGACCAAAGCCACCCCCAGGGCTCCGTGGCGAGTCAGCTCAGGGCTGGTTTCTAGTCACTCCCCGAGGGCAGGGCCGAGGCAGGATCTTCCAGAGTCAAGGGTTAGAGAGGCTGTTCCTCGAATGGCCCTCGAGTCCTCCGAGGAGTGCCTCCCACTGGACTGGAGGGGCTGTCCCGCACGGGCCGTCCCCACACGCTGCATGTGAGCCGGGCGCCTCTTTGCAGGTCGGCTCCGTGGCAGCTACATCCTGGGCTCCTGAAGACTCAGGCGAGGGCACAGCTTCTCATCCTCCTCGTCTTCATCTCCACCATCCATCTGCCCTGTGCCTTGCAGTCCAGCTCAGGTACAGGCGCTGTGGCAGCCAGGAGCACCCTGGGTACCACTGGGTGGCCCCAGGACCCAGATCGCAGGAGCCACCCCGTGCCCTGAGGCCTTGTCTTTCACCCTTTGGGCTTGTTCACTGCCAGTAGCAATGGGTGGCCCCAGAGGGTTCCGCTGAGTGTGAGGGGGAGTGGATGGCACCTGCAGCATATTTCCCCACAGGGAGGCCTGGGCTCTGTCTTGGGGAGATCCCGTCTCGGCTTTGGGGGGAATGAGGGTTTGAGCACCTCCTCTAGCCTTGCCTCAGCCACTGGCTGGGGTTCTTTGAGGTTCAGTTTAATGGGGACTTGTCCATCTTCCCTGACGCGTTTGAGTCAGGGACTGAGCAGGCCAGAAGGAGTGGCAGTGTCTGAGCCGCCCGTGCAGCAGGCGGCCTAGTGTGTGAAGCAGACAGGGCACAGGGCGCGGAGGAAGAAGCCTCTCTGCCCAGAGCGGGAAGCCGAGGTCACGGCCCTTCCAAGGGTGCACGGTTCTGCAGCCTCAGCTCGGCTGGCCGGTCCATTCTGTGAAGTCGCGTTTTACCGTCAGCTCTGCCTTGGTATTCCTGGTGCCCGCTCGGACTGCCAGGCCCCATGTGAGAAGCTCAGGCTGGGATGACGTGCCTCAGGGGTGGCCCCTGCTGCTGTCATTTTGTCACTAATCAGACGTGTTTGGTGACCTTCCCCTCCGCATAGCCACTGGGGCTGTAGTGCTGGCGCTGCCGGGATCTGGGTTTGGGGGCGAGGCCCAGGACAGTGGCGGCTCCAGACACCCTTGCTTGAGGCCCAGCATCTGCACTCCCAGCCCGGCCCTCCTCCGAGCTGGCATTTCTGCTGTACCCACAGGACACTCCTGTGCTTCTGCAGACCTGTGGGAGCTGTGGTGTGCTGGCCTTGTCGTGGGTAAATTTAGAAACCGGAGCAGCTCGAGCTGACTTCACACTGTCCCCTTCACAGGTGGGGGTGCACCCACCTGCCCTGTCCTTGTGGCCCTGGGCCCACGGAGGAGAGAGAAGCGGGACTCACAGGGCGAGCCCCCTCCGTAGCTCGTGAACACCCATCAGCCCGTCCAGAGGCTGGAAGGGGAGGAGGCATGAACCTGTGCCAGGGCACTTCAGCAAGGGCGCCTTGGGCCCAGAAAGCAGGGGGAGCTGGGGGTCCTGGGGCCGCCGCCAGCAGTTCCAGGCAGCCTCTGCTCCGGCTGCAGCATTCCAGGCCCTCTCCTCCTGCAGGAGTAGCATGTTTGGTTCCTGTTTTCCTGGTGCCATGGCAATGGGGCTGGGGAGCTCCCTGGGGCCAGAGCCGGGAAGGGTCACTGTGCTGCGTTCCCGACCCGGCCTGCGCCCGGGCCTCGTTTTCTTCATTCCGACACAACACAGGTCACTGTCCGGGTCAGTTTCCACTGGTCTTAGATTCATTTTTCTTTTGAAACAATTTCAGAACTACAGAAAAGCTGCAGAATCAGCCCCTCCCCTTTGTGGTCGGGAGCGAGAGGTCGGGGATGCAGTGGAGGAGAGTAGGTCAGCCCAGGCACACCGGGAAGCTGCGGGAGGGATCAGATCCTGCAGGAAGGAGCCCTGGGCCTTGGAGGTTTCACACCAACTCCCAAAGTGAAGTCTGAAATGCTGAGCGCGGTGACTGCCTTTCTCCAGGCAGGGCTTGCTTCTGCTTTGTTCTTCCTTCGACATGGTGGATTTGTTGGACAAGCCAGGAAGGTCTGCATGCATTAGAAGAGAAATTGGGAGATGTGTTCTGGGCAGAATGCGGTGGAGGCTGAACCGTCTTGGAAATCAGTTCTGGCCGAGGAAGCGGGGATGCCCTTGAGTCCCCTCTATTTTAGAGCAGACTAGAGTCAGAGACACAGCGGCCAGAGCCCTCTCCAGCTGTCCCCACCTGCATGGCCCTGCAGGCTCGTCCCGCCCCTGCCCCGTTCCCCGAGCAAATGAGGCTCCTTTCCCCGCCTGCCGGGCAGGTGCCTGAGCTCCGTGTGGACCAAGCACAGGGGCACCTGTGGAGTTCATTTTTGGGGGCTCCCTGAGAGGGCCGCTTTGTGGGGTCCAGGGATGGAGCCTCTGGTCCACTGAGCACGTCATTGGGCCTGGCAGGGGGCAGGGAGCAGGTACATCGCTGGGCCTCACGTGACCGTGCAGGATCTTGGGGATGTCCCCGTAGGGGCCTCTGCCCTGTTCGTGGCCCCCTTCATGAGCCGTTGGGTGTTCCTGCATGGCTTTGCTGTGGCCTGCCCTGACCGTCATTCGGGGCATGGGTGGGGAGGAGGCCTCCGTGTTGGGACACCTGCTTTCCGGGGCAGGTCAGGAGTAAGTGGCCAGGCCATCGCTGCGGGGGGCCACTGCTGAGAGAGCCTGCCAAGGCCGGGTTGAGGCTGCAGGTGCCCATGGTGCTGCCCAGAGCTCTGGAGCCTGAGAGGCTGGCACAGGCCAGACCAGTTGCAGTGACTGCGGTGGCTCCACCATCAAAACCTTCCCCAGCCCATTCTCAGGTCATGGGGGTGCCACCTGGACACGTGTTCTCACTCCCATGTTCTCTTTCCTCAGGTGCAGAGGCCAAGACCGTTTTGCCCAAGAAGGAGAAAATGAAGCTAAGGCGTGAGCAATGGTTGCAGAGTAAGTCCATGCCTGCATCTCAAGGCAGCTGCCGGCCCAGGTCCCATCCCGTGGGCCCTCCTGTTCCCACAGCCGCACGGTCTGGCCTACACCAGCCACACAGGGCCCAGGGTCCCCAAGGGGATCTCCCAAGACCCTTTAGAGGCGGCTGTGGGGGCCAAAGGACAGTGGAGGCACAGAGAGGGTGCCATGGAGACTGGGCAGCACAGCCAAACTGGTCTGGCCTGTTACGGGTGGCACTGCCACCCCATCCCTGTGGGTACCTGCAGAGCTGGGCTGCCTCGCTTTGGAGGACGGCCTTGGGAAGCTGCTGCTCTCGGCTCCTTGTTTGTAAAAATTACCTATTTTTGTTCTCCACTGTGAAATTTTTTGTTATGAAAGTAAAATGTGCTTGTGGAGTCTTTATGGTTCAGAAGTGCCTGCGGTGGTGTATGAAATCCTTTCAGGCCTTGCCCGCGGTGAAAACCAGTGTCTGCGCATAGCGATGTGGGTGTGGGCAGGGCTCCTGGGGTCCCCAGACCCTTTCAGGCCCGTGGCTCCCTCTTTTCTGAGGCTCCACGTAGGAGGTCAGCCTTGCCACGTGCTCGCAGCCGCACGTCTCTGAGGGCTGAAAGCCACACTTCCCACTCAGGTTGTTTTGGATATCTCCTTATTTTTCATGATGCTGGATATTTGCCAGTGTTGTTCTAAGATTATTTCTCGTCAAAATTATTTTGTATTTTTTGGTTTTTTTTTTGTGTGTGATTCTGCTGACTTTGTGAAATTAATTTGAAATATTTTCTTTTTTATGTTCTTATACGTTAGTGTATGATCTGCTTTATTTTTTCTTTGGAGGTTATGTTTTTCAGAGGTAGGACCTAGAAAACTTTGTCGGTTTATTTCGTGATTATTAGTTTTATGATTTCTGTCCCTTTTTGGATATTTCTTAGGGAAATGATTCATTCTTCCATTTTCTTTTTCACAGTTCCTAGCATAGCTGTGAAAGTGGATTTGGATGGACTCCTGGACTGTGGCCATTTGGACCCTGATTTTCTAGGCCATAATTCTTTGATGATGTGTAAATTTTATTCCACGGCTCTTGGTCCTTTTTTTTTCTTTTTTCACGACTTGAGTCAATTTTGGCCACTCACGAAATGATCGAATTTGTCTGGGGATGGTGCCTTATGCCTGTAATTCCAGCACCTTGGGAGGTTGAGGTGGAAGGATCAGCTACGCCCAGGAGTTTCAGACTAGCCTGGGCAACGTAGCGAGACCTTGTCTCTACAGAAAATGTAAAAATTAGGCAGATTAGGTGGTGCGTGCCTCTGAGCCTCTAGTCCTAGTGACTTAGGAGGCTGAGGTGGGAGGATCGCGTGAGCCCAGGAGTTTGAGGCTGCAGGGAGCCAGAATTGCACTAGTGCACTCCAACCTGGGCGGCAGAGTGGGTCCCTGTCTCTAAGTAATATTAATAATCAAATTTAGTCAGAGCTCAGTCTTTATGTGTTAGTTGCTTTCTTATTAAATATTCTATTTTCTTTATCGTTCTTTATTTGTATCCCCTTTTCATTTCTGATTAAGAAGTTATGTCTCTTCCGTTTAATAATTAATGTTTAATGGTCAGTTCTACTCTTTTGTCTTCAAAATTACTTGTTTTTATTTTGATCATTCTCCCATTCTAGCTTTTTTTGGGTTTCAGTTGCTCTGCTCATCTGTTTGTATATGTTTTGTTCAGGAATGAAAGGCTGTAAGTTGTCTCTAAATACAGCTTTGGCTACATTTCCCAAGTTACTTTTACTTTGTATTTTATTATGAAAAATTTTATTTAGGAAAGTGGGAAGAATTTTATAGTGAATACCCTGTACCCACCATACAGATTTTACAATCTTTATTACGTAACTGTTCATCTAGCAATTTCTGTCCGTGTACCAACATGGGTTTTTTAAAATGCGTTTCAAAGTAAATTGCAGACATCAGTACACTCCACCCCAAATAATTCTGCTAGAATTTATGGTGCTTTTTTTTCTTTTTCTTTTGAAGATTGTATTTACATAAAATGAAATGCAGATCTTAAGTGTGCCATTCAGTGATTTCTGACAAATGTAGACACCTGTGCAGCTGAAATCCCGTTAAGGTTACGGACCGTCACCACCATTCCCTGGCAGTCCCGCGCCCCTCCCAGTCAGTTACCTCTTCCGCCTGCCCCAGAGGTAATAAACACTGTGTCGTCCTTTCTCGTCCACAGTTGAGTTTTTCTTGCCTTAGACTTCATATAAGTGGAATCATGTAGGATGCACTCTTTCTGGGTCTGGCTGCTTTTGCTCAGCGTAATGGTTTTGAAAGCCATCCAGGCTGCGTGTAGCAGCAGTCCATGCCTTTTGATTGCTGAGAAGTATTTCATTGTGTGAATACACCATTGGTTATTCACTTTCCTACTGATGGGCACCTGGGCTTTTTTCCATTTTTAGCTACTATGAATAAGGCTGCTCTGAACATTCTTCACAAGTCTTTTTGTGGACATGTTTTCGTTTCTCTTGGGTAAATGCTGAGGAATGGAATGCTGGGTCATAGGGTAGGTGTATGTTTAGTTTTATAAGCAGCTGCCAGACGCTTTTCTAGAGCGGTTGTACGTTCACGCTCCCACCAGAAGCCTGTGAGAGTCCATGCCCTGCAGCTTTGCCAACACGTGGCGCGCCGTCTCCTCAGCCTTGGCCGTCTGGTGATTGTGAAATGGTGTCTCACGGTGGTGCGTGGCGCGCCGTCTCCTCAGCCTTGGCCGTCTGGTGATTGTGAAATGGTGTCTCACGGTGGTGCGTGGCGCGCCGTCTCCTCAGCCTTGGCCGTCTGGTGATTGTGAAATGGTGTCTCACGGTGGTGCGTGGCGCGCCGTCTCCTCAGCCTTGGCCGTCTGGTGACCGTGAAATGGTGTCTCACGGTGGTGCTCGTTTTCATTGCCACCAAAAGAGCATTTTCATGTACTCCCTGCCCGTTTGTGTTTCAGCGTCAGTGAAATTCATTTTTCATGAGGCTTTTTGCCTTTTTATTATTGAGCTCTAAGAATTCTTTGTGCTAGAGTCCAGTCTTTGGTTGGATATGTGTTTTACAGATGTTTTCTCCCAGACTCTGACTTGCCTGTTCATTTTCTTAACTTTTTTTTTTTTTTTTTTTAAGGCAGAGTCGTGCTCTGTTGCCCAGGCTGGAGTGCAGTGGTGCGATCTCAGCTCACTTAAACCTCTGCCTCCCCGGTTCAAGAGATTATCTCCTGCCTCAGCCTCCTGAGTAGCTGGGACCACAGGCACACACCACCACGCCTGGCTTTTTTTTTTTGTATTTTTAGTAGAGATGGGGTTTCACCGTGTTAGCCAGGATGGTCTCGATCTCCTGACCTCGTGATCTGCCCACCTCAGCCTCCCTAAGTGCTGGGATTACAGGCTTGACAACTTTCTTTTTTTAATAAACGGGGGTTTAATTTTGAGAAGTTTAATTTATATTAGTTACTGTGTGTGTGTATGTATGTGTATGTGTGTCCTATTTGAGAAAACTTTGGCTAATCCCAAGCCATGAAGATATTATTCCTCTTTTAAAACTTTATACTTTGAACTTTCATATTTAGGGTTTTTTTTTTTTTTTTTTTTTCTGTCTTGAATTGTTCGTCTGTGTGATGTTAGTGGTTAAGCTCCTTTTTCTCCCCTAATGTGGATATTCAGTTGTTCCAGCACCATTTGTTATAAATACTTTTTTCCTTATTGGATTGTTTTGGTGCCTTTTTGAAAAATCAGGAAGTCTCCTGAGTGTGGATCTGTTTCTGGGCTGTCTTCTGTTCCACTGATCTGTTTGTTGCACCTTAGCAAATACCAGGCTGTCTTGATTACTAGAGCTTTAGCGTTAGTCTGGAAGTCAGATAACACAAGTCCTTTCTGTTGGTTTGTCTGTCTTAAGGTTGCTTTGGATATTCTAGGTCCTTGGCATTTCCATATAAATTATTATTAGCTTGTCTGTTTCTTTAAAAACAACAAAAACCTAGTGGGGCTGTGATTGGGATTTCATTGAATGTATAGATCAGTTCAGAATTACCATCTAAGCAAAGCAGATCTTCAGGTTCGTGAACGTGGTGTATCTCTCTGTTTAATTTTCATCATCAGTGTTACATAGTTGTAGTGTAGAGGTCTTACATCTTGTAATAAGCTTATTGCTAAGTATTTTTATAGTTTTTTATGCTATCTTAAATGCAGTTTTTGTCAGCTGTCTGCTAGTATGTTAAAACACAATTGTTTTTTTAAAATACTGATCTTGTATCCTATGAATTTACTAATATCATGATTGGGTCTGATAGTCATTTGGTAGATTCCTTAGGATCTTTAGAAATGCATAGTTTCTGTATGTGTGGATTTTTTCATTCAATTTGCTTTTTTTTCCCCAACATATGTTGAAATTTTTGCTGTAGATCTGCACGTGCCACCCCCCGTTGTCTTTGTGAGGACAAGCTCGAAAACTATCCTTGCTGTTCCTCCCCCTTGCAGGGCCCTCCCATTCCTGGAGGCCTCCCCTAGTCACTCTCTGTCCCTTGCTTTGTTTTGTCTTGTCCACACACCTGCCCGGTGCCTGGGTAGTGCCTCCATGCTCCACCACACAGCCTGTGCCCCAACCATGCCGCAGGCAGTGGCTCCCCACGTCCCGTGGGCGGGAGGGTGGGTAGTTGGAATCACACACATGTCCCAGTTGACTTTCCCAACCCTTGGTTGTCCTCCTAGGCGGCATCATTTGCTTTAATATCCGATAGTCCTACTTTCTTATTGCTTGTTCTTTTTAAAAAATGTCTTTACTATTCTTATGCATTTAATTGTTTTTAAAAAATAAAATTTAGAATTAGCTGCACAGTTTTGACTAAAAATCCTGTTGAAATTTTAATTGAGGCAGCATCAGATTTTTCTGGAGCAACTGACAGAGAAGAACTGCACTCTCCCGTGGGTTCTCCTGGCTGCGTGGAAGCTGGTGTTTGTGTGGGGCCTCCCCTCCCCCAGGCGCCGCAGATGAGAGCAGTGCTGAGTGTTCCCAGGGCATGGGTCCCGCCCGCCACTGCCTCGCTCCCTCCCTCCCCTCTCAGAATGGAGTGGGCCAGGTGGGACTGTCGATATTGTGGTCGTCTTTTCCTTGCTCTGATTTATCATTGAGTGTCTAATGTTTTGCCCTGAAATGCGATATTCACTGTGGGTTTCTAGCAGCTCATCTCTGTCAAGGAGCTTCCTTCCGTTTGTGGTTTCGTTGTAATTTTTCTCATTCGTGGGCAGTGAATTGTGCAGAATCCTCTGGACACTGGTGGTGGTGACCACAGGCTTTCTCGCCTCTTGAGTGGCCACTGTGGAGGGTCACCCTGAGGCATTTCCCAGGAGAACCATCCTTGCATGCCTGAGGCTCACCCTGCTTGGGCACAAGTATCATTCTTTTGAAAGGCTTCTGGCTTTGACTTGCAGGGGTGCAGGCCTTTGTGTCTGTGCTCATGAGAGCCACACGCATCTGCTTTGCTTTCCCTGGCCTGGGTCTGCAGCCTGTGAAGGAGCCACCTGGCCTGGCCCGCCCCTCCCTACCCCAGTTTTCCAGGGTGCCCTGGCTCTCTTTTGGATGAGGTGCCGTGTAACGTGTCTACCACAGTCCCGGCAGGATTGAGAAGTGCTGGATTCTTACTTTATGTTTATGATTCCTGAGGCTGTGGAGAGCTGGTGTACACCTTCCAAGCTCTCAAGCTGCACTGGGGGCTGAGAACCCAGAGGAAGGGTGGTCTTTGTCCCAGGTTCTTGTCAGCGATTTGGAGCCAGGTAAACACTCCCTGCTACAGGGACCCAGGGCAGGGTGGCATCCCTGACTTTGGGTTGGTCAGGGTGGGCCCTTCAGTCCTTGCTCCGTGAGTCACCTGCCCTGGGGGCTGAGAGGGGGCACTGCCATCCCAGACAGCGGGATTGGAGAGGAGCTGGCTGTTGGCACCTCTGGAAACCTGGGCACTCCTCCCGGGGGGCACAGGTGCTGCCATGCCCGGGCCTGTGTCACGAGCTGGCAGTGTTTGAGCTGCAGGCCTGTCCCACTGGGTTGCCCTGAAGAGAGCAGGCTTTGTCCGCACTCCACAGCCTCCAGGAGCCACGTGCAGCGAGCAGCATGTCCAAGCATGTGTTCTCTTAGCAATTTTGAAATAAATAAATTTTTAAATTAAATCAAATCCCAAGGCCATGCCCCTTCTCTCCAGACCCTGCCCAAATCCCTTCTGTAGTGTGGAGGCCTCAGCCCTGCCTGCCACGCCCCATGGCCCCAAGCCCTCAGGTCTGTCCTGGGGCTCCTCCCCTTCCCTCTGGGGAGCCCTCTTCCTCCTGGGAACAAAGCTGAGCCTCCCAGGCTGTGACTTGCCATCTTAAGTTGAGGACCCCTTTCCTCATTTTCCCCTCTGCTCGGTAGCTGTGTGCACTCCCCCAGGCGTGCTCCGGCCTCGGCTGCCAGCATCCCTTTGCAGGAGAAATCCTCAGTGGCTGCAGCTCCACCTCATTGTCAGCCCTGTGATTAAAAAGCACAGCTCTGTCATTAAGGGGAAAAAAATAACTCAGGCCTGCCCACCCTACAGGTTCCCGGGGCGGAATGGGGGCGACAGCGGGAAGGAGAGAGGCAGCAGGGCTGGGCACCCCGCCAGGTCTCTTGTGGGCCAGGGGCTCTGGGCCTGGGCTCCTCCTCCGCCTCTTGCTTGCCTCTAACGTCGTTTCTCCTTCCTTAGAAATCGAAGCCATAAAACTGGCTGAGCAGAAGCACAGGGAGGAGCGGAGGCGGAGGGCCACGGTGGTGGTGGGGGACCTGCACCCGCTCAGGGACGCCCTGCCCGAGCTGCTGGGGCTCAAGGCTAGCAGCCGGCGCCAAGCCCACAGGTGAGTGTCCGGGAGGGGTGGCCTTGTCTGAGCTGTGGGGCTGACCCGGGTCCAAAGGTGGAGGGATATGAGCCGGACCTGTGGGCCACGGTGGCTCTTGACCCTGCAGAGGCCAGGAGCTGGGGCTTCAGCTGGTGCTCCACGCAGGTACCCCGTTCCCAGGGCGTGAGTTCGTGAGGCTGGCGGGGGCTGTGGGGGACGTTTCGGGGGCACCCAGGCCCACCCTTGTGAGGAGCCTGGTGACTTTGCTGATGCCGAGCTCCCTCGAGTGCCCCTCCCCCCACACTGGCCACAGCTCCTGCCAGGTCCCACTGGGGGTCCCCGCAGCTCCCTGTTCTGCCACAGCCTCCGTCCTGCAGAAACCCTGCTGTGCTCAGCCGAGGCTCCTGAGCACCTACCATGCTCTTCCCATGCCTCTAACGGGGGCTCCCGTCTCCCCTCCGGAGTGGACCTTTCCCTGACGCCCGCCTAATGCTGCACACCCTACCCTGCCCCTTACTCCGTCCCATAGAGGGTGGCCCATGGGGATGGCTCAGGCCTGCTGTCAGGCATGTTGAGGGTGTGGGACCCACACATGCAGGCCCCTGGACACACATCCCTGGAGCTTGTCCCCTTGGGGTGGGAGCTGCCTCGTGCATCCTCCCCAGGAGGGCCGGGGCCTGATGTGAGTGCGGCTGCTCTCCCGAGCTGTACCTACCTGTGTGGGAGGCACTTGCCGCCCAGCCTCACCACGGGTCTGGATGTGGTTTGTTCTTCAGGGAAGAGGCAGGCCCCTGCCCCACCCTTGGCTGCTGGCATCACAGTGCCCCTCCCCTGCGCCCTGCTGAGAGCTGGGGTGGTGGATTGTGGACCCTTAGTGCGTGAACGGCTGAGCCAGCAGGCCTGGGCCTCAGTGAGGCCCCTCCGCCCTCCTGCCCTGGGCAAGGCCTGGTCCCCAGCATGAGCCCTCCTGACGCACTGAGATGCTCCCTCCAGAACCCTGTCACCCAGTGAGCCATTTGCCAGTGGCAGGTTCCTTGTGCCCTGGCAATGTGGATGTGGCCCTGCCAGCCTGCTGTGGTGTGTGCGACCCAGGACAGCTCAACCAGGAGGGCGGCGGCTGCATGACCCTCGCTGTCACCTTGCAGGGGACGCAGCCTGCCGATACGCTGCTGCCTGTGGCGCCTTTCTCCTGGCAGCTTTTCTTTTCGGCTCTTTGTGCCTGGGTGACGTGCGGGCGAAAGGAGAGCAGCCTCCGCCCTTCCCCAGGGGCTGGGAGGCACCGCCCGGGTGTGGGTGCTGAGGCTTCGGGCTCAGACAGGAGCTGTGTAGTCACAGCCCAGCTTTCAGAGCTGGCTGGAAAGAGGCCGGGCTGCTCTGTTCTGTCTCAGCTTCCGGGCCTTCCTCATTCATTTGTGCATCTCTAATTTTGCCTTTTCTTTCTTTCCTTCCTTTTTCTTTCTTTCTTTCTTTCTTTCTTTCCTTTCTTTCTTTCTTTCTTTTTCTTTCTTTCTTTCTTTCTTTTTCTTTCTCCTTTTCCTTTTCCTTTTCCTTTTCCTTTCCTTTCTTTTCCTTTCTTTTCCTTTCTTTTCTTTTTTTCTTTTGACAGAGTTTTGCTCCTTTTGCCCAGGCTGGAGTGCAGTGGCTCGATCTCAGCTCACTGCAAGCTCCGCCTCCCAGGTTCACGCCATTCTCCCGCCTCAGCCTCCCGAGTAGCTGGGACTACAGGCGCCCGCCACCGTGCCCGGCTAATTTTTTGTGTTTTTAATAGAGATGGGGTTTCACCGTGTTAGCCAGGATGGTCTCGATCTCTTGACCTTATGATCTGTCTGCCTCAGCCTCCCAAAGTGCTGGGATTACAGGCGTGAGCCCCCGCACCTGGTCTTATTTTGCCTTTTTAAAAATAATTTTCCTTCTCCTACTAACTTTCCATCTGAGAAGAAAGCAGGGGCTGTGTGCAATGTCAAACCTGGGGTCCATCCTTTCATGGTCCAGCTGCCCAGGCCCGGGGGTGGTAGGTCACGTGCTGCAGGCCCAGGCAGCTCCAGCCGGCATCCCACGGTGGAGCACTGGGTCCAGACTAGGAGCGGCCGCCGAAGTGGAGATGTGACGACCGAACATTCCTGGTTCTTGGACAAAAATGTGACCCTGGTCAAGTATCGTTTCCCTGTTTTCAGTTTTCTCATCTGAAAAATGTGCTTGGGGCTCGCAGAAGGGAGAGAGCTGTGTAAACACCCAGCCCCCAGGCCGAGGAGGATGTGCCCCTGCCTCAGGGCTGTCTGCGCCTCTGTGCTGGGCTGCTCTCAGCCCTGAGAGCCTCCTGTCGCTGGAAGTCCCCGTCCCTCCTCAGATGAGACTCAGGAAGCAGTGCCTCCTGACCCTGGTGGAGCTCTTGGAATGGTCCCTGTTTTAGACAGGCTTTAGAATCATAGAAAATGGCAAAGATGGTACCGAGAGCTCCGTGGAGCTCCGGCATCCCCGCGTGCTTTTCCTGTGACGTCAGTGTGGTGTGTTTGTCACATAAGGAACCAGTATCAAAGAGAAATAGTGAGCTGTAAGTAATTAATAGTTAACTAAAGCCCATACCTTAGGTTTCCTTCATTTTTCCCTAACGACCCCTTTCTGCCTCAGGATCCATCCAGGATCCCATGTGACAGTCAGACGTCACAGCTCCTAGGCCCCTCTTGGCTGTGAGTTTCTCAGACTCCTCTTGGTTTGGTGACCTTGACTGTTCTGAGGAAGCTGTCCCTCAGCTGGGATCTGTCTGATGTTTTTCTCATGGTAAGGAAGGGACTGAGTGTGGGGACGAAGCCCCCAGAGGTGGAGGCCCACTGTCACTCCACTGTATCGGGCACACCCTGTCACCGTGACTGACCACTGTGAGGCTGAGCTGACCCCTGGTGGGTTGAGGCCCCCCCTCCATGCTGTCCTCTCTGGAAGGAAGTCACTCTGCAGCCCTGGCTTGGAGTGGGGGTTGTGCTCCACCTCCTGGAAGACACAGCAGTGACAAAGATTGCTTGGAATTCTGCTGGGAAAGGAGCTTTGTCTGTCCTCCCCGAGTATGTATCGGTCATGCCTTGGTGTTGGTCTGGACAGATGGATGTTTAGTTTACGCTCGGGGTTATCATCCAGCACTACTTGATTTTGGTGCTGAAACTGTTCCAGCGCTGGCCGCTGGGAGTTCTTGCAGTTGCCTCCGGCTCCCTTTAGCCCCATTGAGGTGGGGATTGTGTTTTTAGCTCTTTCCCACTGCCCAGCACCAACAGGTGCGCCAGGTGCATCTTGGACATCTCCTGCCAGTCCTGCTGTTTCTCTAGGGAGCTCTGACCCTGGTATTGCAGGAAGTGTGAGACCCTGGGATCTGGGGCGCGGCGTGCCTGGGCGGTGGGCCATGTCTCTGGGAACTGCACCTAGGTCCCAGCAGGCAGGTCTCTGCCCCACTGACCACCACTCATGGACTCTGATGTGCTCTGGGCTTGAGGGGTCAGCAGGCGAGCACCAGTTTCCTGGGAGGCTGGAGGATGGACAGCCCTTCCTTCGCAGCCTGGAGCCCTGTCTCCCACTTCTCCCCTTCCCACCTAGCGGGGAGAATATCTGGCTTGGGCTGGCAGAGCCGTCCTTGTGGAACCCAAGCATTGGGTCCTTGCCCCGCGGCCCCTCCCAACCCTCAGTCCTCTCAATCCCCTGTCCTGGCACCCTGCCCTGAGGGCCTCATGCTCCTGGGGTGCGGGGTGCAGAGCTGGAATCTCAGAGGCCAGGGCAGGGCCCATGTTTGGGGATCACGTCGCTCCTGGCTGGGAAGCAGGCATCAAGCGACACTTGACCCCGGTGACCCCCCAAGCTCTGGACCTCGGCCTCCTGTGTGCGCTTTGTGGGCGATTGTCAGGAGGGGGATGGTGGTGATGTCGCTGCTCCTGCCTGGAGGGAGTGCCGTGGGGACTGGCGAGGGTCCACACTGGGCAGAGCTAGGCTCGAATTCCTCCACGGCTTCCTGCTGTTAGGCCTCTCGGAGTCGCGTCACTGCCGGTGCTGCCCTACGGGTCACCTTGGCCCGTGACTGACTGCCCAGCACTCTGTTCCCAGGACCCTGAACTCGGGAAACCCCACTGGGAGGCTGTGCGTCCTGCCTGGGAGGATGGCATGTGGGACGTGTGGGTGGGGGGCGGTCCCTACAGTGGGGAGAAGGAGGTGCTGCGCCTGGCCCTGTGGGCACTGCAGCCACCCTGGGTGCAGCTCCTCTGCTTTGCGACCTTGGGAGGCATTGGTCCTGCCCCCACTGCTATTTCATCTCTTAAAGTGAGGGTGCAGCTCCGGGGCCCAAGGTTTCCCCAACCAGGAAGGCTGCCCTGGGCCTGAGCTCAGGTCTCCTGACGCCAGCACGTGGCTTTCCCCACTGAGGGCTCTGTCCTGGCACCAGGGGTGCACCTAGAGGAGGGGGCCCCACGCTGACGGCTTCTGCAAGGGTGGGGACCCAGGACAGCTCTGGGCAGTCGCTGAGGGAGCTGCTGCTCAGGGGTGGACTCAGGGAGGGGGTCAGCCGGCCAGAGGGGCAGAGCTTCTGCATCGGGGCAAGGGTGGCCCAGGAGAGGCCGTGGGGAGATGTCATTGGCCCTGGCAGAGCCCCTGGGATGAATGGAGCTGTGGCTTTGAGCGGGCGGAGGAGACGGGAGACGCGAGGGGCTGTCATCTGCCGGTGTGAGCAGGAAGGGATGGGGACTGAGTCCTTCCCCAAGTCAGCACAGAGCCAGGGTTAAAAGAAAGCGGGCACTGAGGGCTATTTTGGGCAGACACAAAATGTCTGTCATTCATATTTTAAGAGATCCATGAATAAAAGATCAAGTCTCCTGGCCTGAGGACTCCGCGGCTCCACCTTCCCGCCGTCCTCTGGGTCCCACCTCACTGTGTGGACGGCAGGTCTGGGAAGGCACCTGGTGTGGCCCTGAAGGTTTTCTCTTCCTTTCAAGGCCCAGGTCGCTGTCGCATCTGAACGTTCGGCCAGGTTGGCAGCTGCCTTGGCCAGCTGACCACAGGGAGTGCAAGTGAGCTCCCAGAGATTCCCACGGTTACCTGAGGGTGAGAATTTCCGCAGGGAGCCAGAGCCTGCCTGGGGTGGACGTCAGAGATGAGAGTGTCCTGGCCCGCCTGCACCCTGAGTCAGGGCCCAGCGTGGTGGTTTGGAGGTCCCAGAACTAAAGGGAATAACCAGCAGCACTCAGGAAACCTCCTCAGTTCCTCCACCTGTCCATGGGGGACCGCAGCGCTCGCTGGTACCCCCCCCCCAATAGATGCAGGCAGGGCAGAATCTACGGGGGGGTCTGTGCCCCGTCCCCAGGTTCAGTCATCAGGAGGGCAGGTGCAGCTCCCCACTGTAGAATAGCATGCGCCTTCTAGAGAGAGGACTTGGGGACATGTCGGCATGGGTGGGTGACTCAACCTTCCTGGGAAGTGGCGTGTGCTGTGGGAGTGGGACTGGCTCTGCCTGCCAGGGTCATCTGGCCTGAAGCGTGAGGTGTTTGTGCAGCCTGCCCTGGCCAGGCAGGTGGAGTGGAGATGCTGTGTGTCGTGAGACGTGTTCCTGGCTGACCACTCCCTCCATGCCCCACGGAGCCAGGAGGAGCTGCAGGAGTCACCAGGTTCCATGCGCAGCAGCTTGGGGCCGGCGGTCACAGGACTGTCAGGCAGCTGCACTGCTTGTCCGGGTCCCGCCTCCACGGCCACAGTGCAGCATGGAACTTGTGGTTCTGCAGCGGTTTGGTCACCTCGGCCACCACGATGTCTGCTCCAGGAAGGGAGGAGCCAACCTCTGCCCACGGGAAGGTGTTCAGGGGATGCTGGGTGCTGACTAACGTGGCTTCTCTGTGTCCACGGCAGGGAGAGGGAGAGCAACAAGCCCCGGCCCTCAGAGCTCAGCCAGATGAGCACAGCCCAGAGACAGCAGCTTCTGTGAGTGCCCCCACCCCGCCCACCTCCCCGGGGTTCAGCTCCCGAGTGCCCCCACCCCACCCACCTCCCCGGGGTTCAGCTCCTGAGTGCCCTCACCCCGCCCACCATCTCCAGGGGTTCAGCTCCTGTGTGCCCCCATCCTGCCCTCTCCAGGGGTCCTGAGTGCCTTCGGCCTGCCCTCTCAGGGGTTCAGCGGCTGAGAACCCCACCCCGTCCCCCCCAGTCCCCTCCGTGCTGCTCCACTAGCTCCTGCCTATCCACTGCAGGAGGGCTCTTGAGTGCAGTCAGGTCCTGTGGCCCTGGGGCAAGGCCCGCCTCCCAGGAAGGCTTCCAAGGAGAGTCATGGATCTAAAATGATGGGTGGACGCGGCCCCGCCTCCGCCCCTCCCCTCCCCTCCCCTGGCTGGTTGAAACCCGGATGGTCATGTTTGGTTCTGTGGCTGGGCACTGCGGCCCCCAGTTAGCAGGGCTAGGACCCTGTGATTTGCAGAAATTTGTACTCAGTTGTCCTCTTGGGGTACAAAAACCTGCAGACCACGCTCTCTTGCCTCTTTGTAGACTCAGCTCCAGTTTCCACTGAGGGACATTTTACGCCCTTATAAGATGGTTTTAGTTAAGCTACTGGAATGATTTTTTTCTTTGTTTTTGAACTGACTTTGCTAAGATATTTCTCAGTAGGGAACATTCCGTGTCAGTTTCTACTGAGGCCCATTGTGCCCTTCCAGTGTAGAATCTGAAGTCTGTTTCATGAGTACGGTTGTGTTTAGAAGCTGGTGTCAAATGGTAGCTCCAAAGGTTTCTTTATTGTCTTGGCTTTTCTTCAGGGGCACCAGTTACGCATTTACTGCATCTCTCTAATCTGTCTTCCATCTCGTGTTCTCTAATCCATTTTTACTCTAGACACTTCGTCGTGTCTAGAGTGAAGTATAGACAGTATAGTAAATTGCCTTTTTTAGTTTTTTAAAATGTTTTTGTATTTATTTTTTAGAGACAGTTACTTGCTCTGTGGCCCAGGCTGGAGTGCAGAGGTGTGATCAAGGCTCACTGAAGCCTCCGCCTCCTGGGCTGCAGTGATCCTCCTGCCTCGGCCTCCTCAGGAGCGGGGTCTTCCTGTAGATCTTTATGTTTGTCCTCTTTGGTTTGTGCTTCTCTGTTTATGAACTGAGTTCTTGCCAGGTCAGTCTTGTCTGGAGACAGTTTGGAAACGGCAGAGCCCTCTCCATGTAGCCATCCTCCTGCCTGGCCTCCCTCTCCACCTCTCCCCAGTGTACAGCCTGGTCCAGGGAGCCCCTCCCTGCCCGGACAGGGTGACAGGTTTTCCTCTCGCAGACTATCTGTGGCCCGCACCCCTTGGTGCCCCCACGTCCTTGGGGTCGCTGCATTTCGAAGCAGCTCAGGTTAACAGGTCTCTTGGTTTCATGAAAGATTGAGTTTGGTTTCTTGTTGCTTCTGAGAGGAGAGCGGGAGGCCCCTTGTTCACTCCGTGTTCTGTGTCCGTGGTGCTTTCTGGCATGTGTGGACAGGGCTCAGGTGTTTGAGTGGCTTTGGATCCTTCAATCCCAAGATTCCAGTGGGAAGCAACAGTGGCCCCTCCCTGGGTCGTGCTCCCCGGGGGGCTCCGTGTTGGGCGTGAGCCTTGTAGCTCCTGGGGCTGGTGGTCTGTGCCCCACGGCTGCTCCCATGTGTACCAAACCAAGGAAAGGGCTGTTCTCTCAGGTGGGAGGGCCCTGTCTGTGAGTCTGTGTTTACGGTTGTCCAGGATGGCACCTGGAGGCCTGGCCCAGCGTGGGAGTCACACAGTGCCAGGGGCTCTGAGCCCGTGTCCCATACCGTGTCCAAACTCGGGCACAGGCACAGGCTCCCCCTGCAACCCCTCCCCGTGCAGCTTCTCTTCCAAGCGTCACTGTCACGGCTCCTTTCCTCCCCAGCTCTGACCCAGGACTCTGCCCGATGGACCATAGTGCTAAGAACCTGGCCTGGGCCTTCCCTGGCCTCAGCTCCTCATTTGCCCCTGGTGGGGCCTTGTTGGGTCCTGATAGCCCCAGAGCTCACTAGTGATGTCCAGGCTGTGACTGAGGCATTTCACCCTGACTTTACGGGGAGTGTCCCAGCTGCCATGCTGGGGCCAGGGTGGCAGTGGCAGGAGGAGGCGGTGGTCAGTGACTAGCAGAGCCCTGACCGCCTCCTGCTGTGGAGATGGCCCCAGCCCCGCTGTCCTCGGTGGCTCTGGTGTGTGGGCACCCTGCCCAGGCGGTCATCCAGTGGGGTGTGAAGGAGCCTTGTTAGCTGCCCCCGAGGCTTCTGTGCCTGAGATGGGACCCATGTCACCTTTGTGTTCCACCGAGCACCCCTCTGGGATGCCGGCAGCTGCTCTGTGTTTAGAGCAGGAGCTGAGTGGCTGCCAGGCTGGGTGGCGGCTGGGGTGAACTGGTGCTGTGCTGGGTCGTCGCCGTGGCACCCATCTGGGGCTGCCGTGCCCCCCTCTGCTGCAGGCCTGTGCCAGCTCAGGCTCTCCGGCTCTCGACTCTCCTCCGTGTGCGTCTATTTTGGTCGCCTGTGGAGGGAGCCGTCTTTTATGTAAGGTGTGGTCTGCAGGGCTTGTGAGGTGCCGTCCCGTTTCTCAGCCTTCGCAGCAGCCCCATCAGCCCCAGACTTGCTGCCAGGGCCGGGTGACACCTCCACGGCACACCCCACAGTGGGCACTGCCAGGGCCGGGTGACACCTCCACGGCACACTCCACAGTGGGCACTGCCAGGGCTCTGGGACGCATGTGGCTCCACGGCACACCCCACAGTGGGCACTGCCAGGGCTCTGGGACGCATGTGGCCCTGCGGGCCCGGGGCAGCCTCTCCCCTCCTGCTGGAAGTTTCCAAGACCCCGACATTCAGTCCAGTGGTGGCCCCAGGCCTCTGCCATTCATTCCGGTGTCCGACGTGCCTGGGTGTTGAGGGGCTGAGCTGTGTCGGATCCTGGGGGTGCTGAGGGGCCTGGGGATTCCTACCTGCTGATCTGTGGTCTCCATTCTTTCAGTGAGGAAGAAAGGACCCGGTTTCGGGAGCTGCTGGCTAGTCCGGCCTACAGAGCCAGACCCCTGGTGGCGATCGGGCAGACGCTGGCCCGGCAGATGCAGCTGGAAGGTGGCAGCGAGCTCTGACCAGGGCAGTGGGCGTGCCCCAACTCCTCAGGACACACGTGTGAGCCAGGTAGAGAGCGCCAGCCCCTCGAGGACCATGATCTGAGCCTGGTGGACGCCCTTCCCTCTGGTCGGTTGTGGGACTCAATAAAGAGCTCTGTGAACTTACCCTGCACCCCCAGGGCCGTTCCCATGAGCTGCTCCCTGATTCACAGGGCTGGGCCCACCCTGGAACAGCTGCCCCTGCTCTGCTCAGGACGACAAGCCACATCCCTCCTCTGGCAGCTGCAGCCCCCACGCCAAGTCAGGGCGGGCCGTGCACAGGGTTTGTGGGGACTGTAGTTGTGGAGGCCCTAAATCCGTCCCTGAACTGGCACCGGTGCCCCCAAGCTAGCCCCCTGGGAGGGAATTGTGCCTGGGCGTGGCCCCAGCTGTGCCACCAACCACCCTGATTTACTTCAGCCTCAGTTCCTGCTGCGGCCCTGGTGGGATCCAGGAGCACTGAGGCCTGCAGGGGCTGCCATGGGGGCTGGCTTGGGGCCCTCCCCACCTGGGGGTCTGTTTCCCTTCCAGTCTCCCTTGCCACCCTCAGTGACCAGGGACACAGATGGCCCTGGCAAGGCCCCAGCCTGCTCTTTGCCTGTGTATGCACCCCCTGGGCTGTGCCCCCAACCCCAACCATGCCCTCGCCCTTCCCAGCTGCTCCAAACCCAGGCAGCCCACTGCCTTGCTCTGGGGGCGGAGAGCAGAGGGTCCTTCTGCAGGGAGGAGACGCAGAGTGGGCCCAGCCCTGAAGCTCTTGCTGACCCAGAAGCAGGAGAGGGCCTTTTTTGTTGCTGGAAGCCCTGGTATTTGAAGGTTTGTTGGACTGTGAATCAGTGACTGATCAGTCCTTGTTTTCAGGGTGTGGAAAGCAAGGGGGTGGTGCGTCCCCAGGCCCCTGAGGCCCAGCTGGGCTCCCCCTGCCCCTGCTCCCCCACCCCAGTGCTCTGCGGGACCTCGCTGGCCCATGTCCTGCAGCAGGGCTGGGCAGGCTGGGCGTGGTGGTGCACCCCACTCGGGGTGTCTGGGAAGTACAGAGCAGGACCACTCTCAGCTCCCAGGCAGGGGCCCAGCACCCTTAGCCTTCCCAGGCTTCCTGGGGTGGGGGTAGTCCCAGGGGCTCCATGGCCTTCTGGCTCCAGGGCATGTGGGTGGCCCCTGTGTGCATGGCCCCTCTTGTCGTGAGCGCCCGTGGTCCAACCTCCCCGGCCCTGCCGCCTGCTCAGGGTTCAGAGCCCCAGCAGCCCCACTAAAGGCTTCCTGGCCAGTGGGTGGCCGAGACGACTTGGAGCCTGCATCCCTTCTGTTCAGTGTCCTGGCCCTTCCCTGACACGAGCAGACACGGCATCCACAGAGACAGCCTGGACACCCTCCAAGGCCCCGATGATGGGACAGACGGGCGTACAGGAGCCACAGGCAGCGGATCCCACGCTCTCTTGGGTGGCTTCTCGCTTCAGAGGAGCTGGTCACAAACCAGTGCTTACAACAAAACCATTTCTGTGGTAGAGCGAGTGCTGGGAACAGCGTCTGTGGGATGCAGGCAGGGCAGCGTGGTGGGGAGGCGGGCGGGGGCGGCTTCCACTTTCTCCAACATCCTCATCCCATGGTCTGGGTTTCTTGTGAAAAACCTGGCCGGGCGCAGTGACATACACCTGCAGTCCCAGCACTTTGGGAGGCCAAGGCAGGTGTATCACTTGAGGCCAGGAGTTCAAGACCAGCCAACATAGTGAGACCCCATCTCGACGAAAAAAATACAAAAATTAGCCAGGCGTGGTGGTGCGTGCCTGTAGTTCTAGCTACTGGGGAGGCTGAGGTGGGAGGATTGCTTGAGCCTAGGAAGCCATGGCTATAGCGAGCCAAGATTGCGCCACGGCACTCCAGCCTGGGTGACAGAGCGATCCTGTCTCTAAAAAATAAAAATTTAAAAACCTTCTTGCTTCCTGGTTTTGAAATTACTCCTGTCTGGTTGTGGCTCGCAGCCCCTCTTCTAGGGATCCTTGCGGGCTCAGGGGCCTCTAACTCCTCCCTGGGCGAGCAGCCCCTGGCGGTGCCTGAGAGTCGCGTGGAGGAGGGTGCTGTGGAAGGACAGCGACGGGCAGGAGTGGCAGCAGGTGTCCCATCGGCTGAGATGGACGCAGATTGTCCCAGGGAAGTAGCCCTTGATGGTATTCCCGCGGGTGCCACCCCAGCAATCTTTGCAGGTGCAGAGAGCCCGACCCTCAGCCATGGCGGCAGCTGGGACGGGGTCGTCCCATGACAGAAGAGTGTCCAACTGTGGGGTTCGCCGTGGCTGTCAGCTGAGTTCTCCCGGCCACCATTGAGAGGGAGGCTCGAGGCAGAGGACGGGGCATGTGTGTTCTCTGGACAGACACCTGGGGTAGAGCCCCTGCATCAGCAGGTCAGAGAGGATGACTGTGGGAGCTTCAGGAGAAGGAACATGAATCACCCAGTCATCGATTTAAACACGTTCTACAGTTGACTGGGCTTTCGTGCCTTTTAGACCCTGGGGCCCTCGGTGCGTTTTTCGGAGTTAAAGGGTTAACACAGCAGGTCAAAGCCTCCTGGGGCCTGGAGGTGCCTGCGTGACCCTTTGAGAAGCTCTGGGCTGGGACGGTGGACGCCGGGCTCGAGGCCCACAGACCCAGCCTGGGCACATCCTGGGTGCCTCAGCCCCAGACCCAGTGTTGGCATATGGGGGGCTGTGGGGCACAGTGGGAGACAGGAGAGGCAGTGGGAGGAGCGCCCCCCCCCCACCCGCCGCCAGTCCCGCAGGAAGGGCAGTGTCTGGTTGCCCGGGGTGTGGGGTGTTGGCCAAAGGAACAGCAAATGCCAGGCCCAGGGTGAAGGGCTGCTGGCTGGGACAGCAGCAGGCCCTAGGGGGTCACCCTCCCTCAGCCCCGGGCAGGCGCAGGTCCTCCTTCCAGGCGCCTGGGATCTCCTTTGTCCCTGGCTGTCCTCAGTCTTCAGCCCCCAGCCCTGGGCAGGCCCAGGTCCTCCTTCCAGGGGTCCGGGGTCTCCTTTGTCCCTGGCCGCCCTCAGTCTGCACTTAGTGTGGCCACTCCAAGGGGGGCTGAGGAAACCCCTCGCAGCACCCACCAGGCTTCTGCGATGCCCACACCCGGCAGCTGTTGGATCCGCCTTTCCCCAAGAAAGCCCCCGGCCCTCCTCCCCTTCCTCTTGGGCCCCTCGCTGAGTGAGCAGTCCCTGTTCCCGGGAGCTGTGTGTCTGTCACCAGCTGCCGCCCTGGTCCTCATGCAAGCAGGGACCATCCCCACCTCTCCGGGCCAGGCCCCGCACACCCTGACCAGCCTCGCTGGCTGAACAGTTCCTTTCCTGGAGCTGCCGTGACAAACTGGCACACAGTGGGGTCGTCAGACAACAGCACATTGTGTGTGTCCCGCAGGCCGGTGGTCTGCACTCAGGGTGTCGGGAGCTGCGCTCCCTCGGGCTGCAGGGCAGGGTCCTCTTTGCCTGTCCGGCTGCTGGTGATTACTTGTGTTTCTGATTCCAGACACTTCCTCCTGGTGCCACAAATGCCAGCAGCCCTTGGTGTCCTGGCTTGTGGCCACGTCGCTCCCGTCCCTGTGTCTGTGACGTCCTATAAGGACACCGGCCACGTTGGGCTAGGGCCCTCTCTACTCCGATGTGGCCTTATCTTGACTGGCTCCAAATACTCTGAGGTTCTGGGGGACGTGAGTTTTGGGAAATCTCCGATCTAGGGGGTGGACTAAACCCTCGAGCACCAGGGTTTCAGATGCCCCTGCTGCAGGTGGGAGGGGGCCTGCAGCTGGAGCTGGAGCTGAGCACCGTGGGTGTGATGGGGGCTGCAGAGGTGGTGTGGGCCTCATGGCCAGAATCTGGGGCCTGGGCGGCCGTAGGGTGGCTGCTGATGGCCACGAGTGGGCTGAGGCTGGGATGGGACCGTGAGGGAAGGAAGGTGGAGGCTGTTCCAGGGCCCTTGGGGGCATCCATGCCGGCTCCCCTTGCCCAGCTGGACCTCTGGCCCCTTCTCAGGGTCTGATCTCCCAGTTCAAAGAGAAGTACCGGCCCCTGCCTTTCTTTGTCCGCACCCTCCTGGCCTGGCCACGATGCTCCTGGACACTTTGGGGCCCTGGTTTTCCTTCTTTCCTCATCGGAAGGAAAGCTCCTGAGAGCAGGGTCTTTGCTCTGTGCGGTGTGGTCAGCTCCAGGACTGTGCACAGATGAGTGTCGCTGAACGAATGGGAGGCAGGAGACAGCGGGGCCTGGGTGGGCCCTGCACACACAGCCTGCTTGTGGTGTCCACAGGAGACAGCGGGGCCTGGACGGGCCCTGCACACAGAGCCGACTCCAGCGTGCTGGTGGGCCTCTCCCTGAATTGTCCATCTCAGCCTGCCCATTCCGCCTTCCCCTGTGGGCAAGCGCGATGGGGTCCACCCGGATCACCCCAGACGTGTGGGTGGGTCAGCTCCCGGCAAGGGGTGTGTTCCGTGCGGCATTGCTGTGGGAGGCGGCGGGACTCTGTGCTGGCCCTGAGGGCTGGCTTGCATTCGGGTCCTTTGCTCCACTGCCCGGATCGCTGGGCTCTGAGAGCGTCCCACACGAGGGATTTGTCTAGATGAGGCCTGCACCTGGCTTGTCCAGGCCCCACAGCGCCCTTGCACCAGCCTGAGTTTGTCCATGAGTTGTTACATCAGGTCTTTGACCTTTGTGTTGCGTGGGGAGGGAGGGTGGTGGCTGGGGCCGCATCGGGCAGAGGCAAGGCACAGCCGCGGCCCCCAAGCTGGTGAGTCAGGGTTCTGTGCTGCTTGGAAGCCAAGTGTTGTACAAACACCAGGCGTGTTGCTTCTGGAATGTTCCCTGTGTGGTGATAAAGCCGGTGACGGCAGCCACTGTCATTGCTCCGAGACGCTGGTGGGTGCTGGCTGCCGCCCAGGCCTTGTCTGCCTGCAGCCCCTGGCGGCCCCTCCAGCCTGGTGGGTTCTCAGCTGCCACCGTGACCAGGGTTTTCCAGGGGCGCCACTATCAGCCAGTGCTTCCAGGATGCCGGGGTGGCCCCTGGCGGGCGGGGAGGCAGGATGCTGGTCTTGCCTTTTCCCCTTTGAAATTGCCGTCCTGGGGCTTCCATGCCAGGTCCTGCCTCCTGGCGCTGAGACCCTCGGGTCTGTACGGAAAGCTCCGTTTTTT